TGCTATGCTTAACTTATTATGGGTTATGTTATAGCACCTGTGTGTTTTTAACAGGGGGGGGTCTTTTATCTTATGTCTTTCATCTGTGTGCAGAAGCTAATGCGGAAGCCATATGCAAGCCATGTCGGATACAGAAGCATTTTGCAAACAAAGGCATTATGTCTAAATTTAATCATTATGTTTAGCTTTTAATTGTATTTGTACCACACCCCCAGCCTCTTCCAGTGCATTGATCTGTCCTAAGTGCAGGACTTTGCACTTGTCCTTGTTGAACCTCAGGAGATTCCTTTTGGCCCAGCCCTCCAGTGTGTCGAGGTCTCTCTGAATCCTAGTCCTGCTACTCCTCCCAGCTTGGTGTCATCCCTGAACTCCCTGAGGGTGCACTCAGCCATCTCCCAGGTCACTGATGAAGACATTGAACAAAACTGGGCTCAGGACCGACCCCTGGGGCACACCAGTTGATACCAGCTGCCAACTAGACATTGAGCCACTGCTTACTACCCATTGGCCCCAATGCTCCAGCCAGTCTTCTGTCCACCTTGCTGTCCATTCATCCAAAATGGACTTCCTCAACTTGCTACCACGAATGCTATGGGAGTCGGTATCAAAAGCCTTGCCAGTCACTTTGTCGTAGAAGGCAATCGGGTTGGTCTGGCATGACTTGTCCCTGGGGAATCCACACAGACTGTTCCCGATCACCTTCTTTTCTTCCCAGTGCTTAGAAATGGGTCCCTCAAGGATCTGCTCCAGGATTCTTCCAGGGACTGAGGTGAAGCTGACAGGGCTGTAGTTCCCTGGATCCTCCTGCCCTTCTGTCATCTCCATTCTCTCGGGCTACCTCTGGCAGTTCTTCCTCCGTAGTCCCAGGGGTCTCCTCCAGCATCGAGTCAATGAACTCCTCATGGCGAAGGATGCTTTGGAGCCTCCCCACCAACTCCTGTGATGCCCTTGCCTGTTCCCTGACAGACACCCCAGGAGGCACCGCTCACACCGCAGGTGCTCCTTGACCTGGCCCTCACCCGAAGGAACCTGCAAGTTGTGCACGTGAGAGACCCCAAGCAGGACTGCCCTGCCCCAAGGCAGCTTCCTGGGGCCAGCCCCCCACTTCACCCACTGCCCTCAGGCCCAGCTGCACTTCCCCTGCGTTGGGTCCATCATGCTGAGACTCACCGGAGCTCGCTGAGGCTTTGCTCACCAAAGCTTCGCTCTCCAAGGCTTCCCTCTCCATGGCATCAGAGGCTCTGCTCTCCACAGCTTCCTTCTCCACGGCTTCGAAGGCTTCCCTCTCCGCGGCTACTTGGGCTGAGAGAGAAGGAAGAGGGTTACAGTTCCTCAAATGCAGGCACTGGCTCCCCCAGACCAATGCCCCCCCCCCATGCCTCACACCATTCCGTGCCAGCAAGAAGGTGCAGATGCCAGGGTGACAGACACCCTTATCACTCCCCAGACAGGAGCAAGGCCCAAGGCTCTGCCCAGCCTCCCCAGCACCATCTGTCACCCGCAGGGAGACAGCGCGGGGCAGGATGAGGCTGTCTGCCCAGGGGGCTGCTCTGCACAGAGGGCAGGAGAGACGAGGAGGCTTCACACTCACCGGGTGCTGCTTCATAGGTTGCTGCTCCATGTTCTGCTGTCCGTCCTGCCCGCTCTGCATGGAGAAGGGAGAGGGCAGCAACTGCAGCTGTTTCCACAACTGGGGTCATGGCCGCAGCCCAGGACGTGGGGCCAGGATACTCCCACTGGGGAAGGGATGGTCTGTGGGGCAAAGACCATGCAGAGCCCAAGACCAGCCCTCGGGGCCCCCAGCAAGGCAGCCTCACAGCGCTGGTGCTGGGGTCTGGCTGCTGCTGCCCCGGGGGCACGTGGATCTGGGAGCCCAGAGCAGCCCGAGAATCCACCATCCCCCAGGTCCCAGGCACGGCAGCGGAGCCCTCCCAGATCTCCTGCCCCAAGGTCTGGGCATGGCCTGGCCCCAAGGTCTTCTCCCAGCACTTACTGACGCAGCAAACCCCTGCGCCTGCCATGGCAACAAGCTGCACAATGACACCGACAGCAATAACAATGCCTTCAATCTGCATCGGGTCGGACTCTGGAAGAGGGAAGGGGCCTGTGACTAAGGGGAGCCCCCAGGCCTGCCTGCAATGCTGCACGGGCCCATTGCCCTCCCCCAGTAGTGCCCCCAATTCCTCTTCCGTTTAGCAGGGTCAATCAGCCCCTCCTTCCCCAAACACCACATTTCTTCTCCCTCCCCGTGCAGGGGTCACTCACCCGTCCTGCCCTTGTCCCAGGCCACTCTCAGGGCTGCACCCAGGCTCTCGTGCTCCACATTGCAGGTGTAGTTGTGGTTGCTGCTTGGGTCAATCTCGGTGGTGGCCCAGGTCTGGTAGGTCCCATCTCCACTGGGAAGGACCCCCAAGTGGCTTGTCTCCTGGGGATGTGCCTCCCCGTTCTTCAGCCAGACGACAGCTACGTCCCTGGGGTAGAAGCTGTGGACCCGGCAGCACAGGATGGTGCGTCTGTCCCAGGACGGCCTGTCGCTCACCTGTGCCACGGGATGCTCTGGGAGGGAGGACACACCTGTGAGAGTGACCGCTTCTGTGGGACCCTCAGCACCCCTGCCAGGAGGCCGGGCTGGGCCCTGCACTGGGCCACACAACCTGGCTCCAGCGCCCATTTCAGGCAGGAACCAACGGCATCGGGGCAGGACCACAGGGGACAGGAGACACGGCTGTGCTGAGCTCGGGGCTGCAGGAATGGGGTCCCAAACAGATGATCTCTGGTTCTCAGACACGTGGCTGGGGCACGGACACCCCGTGGGCTCTGCCCAGGTGAGAGGCCTGAGCAGGCCAGGGACAGGGGCACTGGGTCCCACAGCAGTGCTGGGCACCCTGGACACAGGGGGATGGGGTGGGCATTCCCCGAGGTGTGGAGGTGCCCTGGTCAGTGCTGCCCTGGGCAGTGACACCAGGACTCACTGCTCTGCAGTGCTGCCTCCCCGTGCTGCAGGTACTTCCACAGCCATGTGGTGCAGGTCTCCTCCAGGTAGGCTCTTGCATCCTGAAGAATGGCCTTATCCTCATTCCACCTGTGCTGGGTGACCTGGGCCTGTGTTGTTTCTGCTACCCAGGTGCGTGTTCTCAGGTCATAGCTGATGAAGTCTCCCCCATCGTAGCCAAACCGCATGGACCCTCCAGTGCTGTTGTCTTCATGGAGCTCACAGCTGTACATGAGCTGAAGCATGTGAGACCCTGAAACACACAGATCCAGGCCCTGGTCAGGGTCACAGAGGAGCTATGTGCTGACCCATGGCAGGACAGGGAACCCTCCTCAGTCCCAGGGTCCCCCATGGCCTCCTGCTCACACCTGCCTGCTCACACTCACCGCCGGTCTGGTTGTAGCGATACCGCAGGGTGACCAGGTTTGATTGAAATCCCCCCTGCCAGCCCCACAAACTCCTGGTTTCCCTGTCCCAGAAGTGTGGTCTGACGGCACCCTGCACCCAGTCCTCGCGCGGCTCCTGTCTCCGCGTCTCACTGTCGTAGTGGAGAATTTTCTGGTCGTCCACATAGCTCATGGCAGTGAAGTAGGGAACGCCCTGGCTGGGGTCCGACACCCCCATGTAGAGATGCCGGTAGCAGTGGAAGCCTGCAGGAATGACAGTCAGCACTAGTGGGCAGACACCAGGGTCCCCAGTGCCCGGTGCCACTTCCCAGAGGGGCCACAGAGGACGGACACAGGACTGCACCAGGCGCGGCGCGAGGGGGCAGTGGGGCTGACAGAACAGGGCAGAGCTGGCTGAGTGTTACAATAGGGGTTACATCTAGGGGTTACTAGATGATGTAATTACTGTAATTACTGTCCCCGCCACCTAGGAGCCTCCTGAAGAAATCTGGGGAAGTCCCAGCTCAACGCAATGCTCGCTTTTTGAGCGTAAGCCTGCCAGCTGACACCCAACCTTTAACACCTTTACATTGCTGTTCCACCAGGCACTGGATGGCAGGACAAACGACTGTATACAAATATAGGGCACCAGTGACAAACCTTTGCTCTGACGCATGGTATTTAGCTTGTGTCAGAGCAGACTCGATTAATCAAGTTTGCTGCCAGTCTGCTGAAGTGTGCTAACTAACACACTCCAGCAGCCTCTGCATCATGTGTATTCACTGTGCCCGTGTTTCAAAATGGCAGCAGCAGCACTTTAACTAAAGATCTTCAAACCAGCTTTTGTTAAATCACCCCCGCTGCCATTTTGAAGTGCAGGATGCTGAATACATGTGACACTGCGAGCACTCTAGTTAGACCCTTCTCCCCACCTCAGAGCATGTGTATAGAGGCCCTGAGAGATGTTTCAACAGCATTTCAAATTTACGTGCAACCACCACCCAGAAACTTGGTCAAATAACTTAAAGCTGGATGTTGTAGTTTAAAGAAACCTGCTCACTCACCAGCAAATGTTAAATTCAAACAAGTTTATTACAAGGGAAAAGGAGAACAGTGGTACTCCCTAAGCAAAATCTTTAACTGTAGCTCAAAATGGATCACAGTCACAGTCCGAGGCAAGCCAACCTGGGGAGCTCCCTCCTAGCCCAGTCACCCACAGCTGCCATCCGGGGACTCGACCACTCATGGTCCAAAAGAAATTCCTTATTTGAGCCAGTATACTTTGTGCAGTGGGCATGGCATGAAGAAACCGTGTGCTGGGCCGGACAAGACTCTGGTCAGGGATGTCCAGGGGAGTCCCCCAGTGTCACAGAGTCATGGTGCGGGGTGGCCAAGAAGGATTTCCATTTCTAATCCCAGCCCACAGCAAATTCCCTATTCAAGCCATTGTCCTTAGTACAGTCACTGGGGGTGGGGGGCTGTGCTCTGAGTTGACAGTGCGGCAGAGCCAAACCACGCTTTGAGCCGGGCAATACTCTGGTCAGAGATGCCTGGGAGAATTGCCCAGTGCCGCAGAGTAATGGCATAGGGTTGCCCAACAAGGACTTCCATCTCTAATCCCAGCCCCAAAACCAGTTCTTCATTCAAGCCATTATATTTAGCACAGTTGCTGGGGGGGCTGTCAGACAGCAGCTGGGCATGGTCGAACCGCCTTTTGGGTTGGGCAAGTCGCTGGTCAAAGACGTCCATGAGAGTCCTCCAGGGGCACAGAGGT